TCTTTAATGAAACCGACAGCGATTTTAAAGTGGATCATAGAAAAACCATCACTTTGTGATCAGTGGCTATTACTGTCCCCTCAGAGGACAGGGCTGTATAAAAATTTCATGTGTTAATTAGATGTCATGTCTAAATCAGTCATGTGACACCATAGTTTGATTGGTGCCCAAGATCAAGGTAAAACTAGGCAGCTTTAAGAAAGCAACATGTAGGCAAGGATATATACATGTATTCTGTCTATCAGTTGACACAACATGAGGGTGACATTGAGGTGACTGTGACATTGAAGTGACTGTGACATTGAGGTGACTGTGACATTGAGATTGTGACATGAGGATGAGTCTAGCAGGAGAGGGGGAAGACTTTGGAGGAGAATTTGATTTTCTGGGCGTAGTCGGTGGGGGCGAGGCTGTACCCCTTGGCGTTCATGATGGCCTTTAAGTCTCGGTCTTCTTCTTGCTCTCTGTAAATAGGAGAAAAACGACATATTATTAATTAAGAGTAATCAATACATCCAGAAGTATACAAACATGTCATATGTCTCTCTAAGTTTGTAAAAATTTTCATTACATGTGTTTGAAGGTTCATCATCAGGTTTTCTTAGGTCTTTTACATATTAGAAGTATAAAAAAAAGTCAATAGCTATAATCAAATCAAATCAAAGTAATTTGATTAAGAAAGATACAACATGCATGGAGTCTTTATTTCAATATCCCTTAAATCAATAAAAAATAACTTCTTCTAAACTTTGTAAATGGTTATTTTTTCAATATGGGTGTACTTGATTTGTAATGAATGGTATTATATACTCAGTAATCATCAGTATACTTGATTTATAACATGCTCCTTTTAAGTGTTTAATAAGAGGATACAATTTACAATTGTCTCAGGTATTTATTGAAAATCTCCAAATAATTTCAAAATTATGACTGTTTAAGTAAGGAAAACAGAACTTCCATTTCTTGTACAACTACTCTCAATATAATTATTTAAAATATTACAAGGAAGGTAATTCTTCCAAACACAAAGCTAGATTAATCTACTAAACACAAAGGAAGATAAGGGAGAGGACTAAAATAGGCTGCGCCTGCTGCCCAATCCTATTCACAATAACATCTGTGAATAAAATATTGTTTAAATTAAAAGGAAGATAACTTTACCAAGCACCATACCTGGTATTTGTTTTTACGAAAGTCACCCATTGTTTCCTTTTTGGGTGTCTTACAACATCTCCCACAATTTTTGGTATATTCTCCTTGAAATAAAAATATCAGATCTTTTTCTTCAAAAAATTAGACTGATATTAAAAAAATGTTGGTTCCTAGTTAAACTGCAGATTTAGAAAAATAAAATTATAAAAAAAAAATGTAGAAATGTATACAGTCCATGTATAAGTTAAGTTACTTTTGATCTGTCCTCTTCAAACGCTCGTTTTCTCTTGGCTCGACCTAATCTCATCTCAGGCTTGGAATAGCGGAAACAGTAAAACTTCTCTGTGAGAGATACAAATGTAGCATGTATAATAAATACACAAAAAACTACTAACGCAGATCTACAAAATTCACAAGGCTTCATCAGAACTGCTTTTAATTAAATTTTGAATTAATGATAGTTTTGTAAAAGAGAAAACAATGAATCAATAGTTCAAAGAGGAGCACAAACAAGTGCTTTGAAAGCTAGCCTAGTCTTCATTCATTTTGATGGTTTAATCCTAATCTCAATAATTTGATTATTTTAACCTTAACTAATCAGAAATATCTCAAAGTTTACTTGGAGTTGTGAACCTTATGTCATAACATTTCCGCTTAAACAAACAATGATCCTCTAAGAGAGATGTTGTGGATCTTGAGTCAGATTGCTCCTGTCAGAACTTACAATGATCCTCTAAAAGGGGTGAAACGATGTGCCTTCTTCATGGTTGGATACATATCGTAAAATTTTGTCTCTGTTCGGTTATTTTGGATTCGATACATTTTGATAGAAGTCCTAAGAAGGAAACAAATTCAATTGTTGTTTTATGCTTACATTTACGAAATCTAGTCAAATGATTTATGTGCAAAATGGATAGAAGAAATAAATTTTATTGATTTGACTGTTAAATATTATTTTACAAACAATAAGTCCATAAAAATTTACGTTTCTGAACTAATTATACATGGAACATGTTTATACCTAATGCCAAACCTGACTGAATGACAATCCTGACCAAAAAACAAACCGAACCGAAAATAGAGATTTTGTACCGTGTATCAAACCGAGAAAAAATACCGCAGTGAATCTATACCGCACTGAACCGTTTTAATCCTATCCTCTAAGAGAGTTGTTGTGGACCTTGAGTCAGATTGGTCTTGTAAGGACTTACAATGATACTCTAAGAGGAACATTATGGACCTTGAGTCAGGATGGTCCTGTAAGGACTTATCTTCACCCACTGTCAGCCTGCCACAGCTGTAGTTATTAATCCTCAGTCAAATTCACAAAAATCACACTCAGCACACATTCTTTCCATGATGTACACATGTTTCTTGCAGAAATAGCAGATCTTGCTCTCTGGCTGGGCAGCCAAAAGAACTCCTATCGTTTTCTAGGGGATATAGTGAGTAAATTAAAGCATGTATTAGAATACACGGTTACTATCTTGAAATATAAGCAATATTTAGGCGAGGGTGAGAAAATATGATGGAGGACAAGGATTTTTTTTACTTAAATGTATCTAAAAAAAACCACCCTTTTAACCGTATAAAATCATGCACAAATCTACATTTCAAACAAAAAATTTCTAAAATTAATTCTGAACAAACATTTTTTACCACCTTCTTCTTAACTGGTGGCTCCAAGCTTTGTTTAAACTTTGACATCACGATCTCTGCCATCTGGCTGACCTTGATATTAGACTGAAGGTCATTGTTCAGTTTGACATTAATATCGTCCTTTTTGTCTACAGTAAGTTTGTTGGTTATCTCCTCCACTGGTAATTTACTGTATCGGGTGAGCTGGACGTCACCATTGTGCTGAAGAGTTTAAATTCTTTTTTGTTACAAACACTTAAAACAATGTAAATGTCGAATGGCATGCTTGTTTATTATAAAGGACCTTTTTTAAAATAAATTTCTACACCTAATAAGAATGCACTGTCAACTATACTATTGTAAAACTCTCAGAAAGAGAGAGGGGGAGAGGGAAAATAAGAAAGAGAGGGAAGCACTTACTTGTTTGACATGCTCATTCTTCATGCTGGACATTTATTCATTAATTTTTTACTCATTAATTTATTAATTACTCAGAGAGAGAGAGAGATGAGAGAGTCCAAGAGAAAGAGAAAGAAGAGATATTTACTAAGTTAACCTGTTTGATTTCCTTCCTGTACTTTTTACGACTCAGTGACGTGTTGTGTTCATTTTTTTCCCTCCTCCATTTTAAAATTCTGCGATAAAATAGAAACAATAAAATACAGCCATGTCTTGTACAAATAAAAGGCAGTAAACATTTTATTTATATAATATTATTAATAAATTCAGTGCTTTGAATTCTCTCATTTTTCCCCTGGTTGAAAATTCTTGTTATATAATTATTACAGCCCGCCTTAGTGCCAGAACTCCGGATCCAGGGGCCCTGAAATTCACTAATCGTGACATTACATGGGCCATTTGATAATAATTAAGGAATGTTTTTAAGTTTTGTGTGAGTTATTGGTGTGTGAATCACAAAGACTTGTCACGTAGGCATATTTCATGAAGCGCGCTAGCGCTTCAAGAAAAATATGCCTACGTGCAAGTCTGTGTGATTCACACAATAATAATTCACACTAAACTGAAAAACATTCCTTATATTTACATTTTACATGTTCGGAAGCAACTAAAATATCCTCAATATTTGAATTTCTCTCTGCCCTATATCGATGCATTTTTTCTAACGTCGCTACAGCCTCATTGTGACGTCACGTTAACGCACGTTTCTCCGTGTATATTTCTACGCGTGAGTATACACAAAATTGATTTTCAAATCAGTTTCACAGTTGGCTTAATAGAAAAACACGGCGAATGTAAATATTTGATAATAATGGAAGATAAATTCAACAATTGAAAATCACTAACTGTAAAACACGTTGTTTATATAGTTTATTCCTTCCCTATCTGAAACTATTCATTGACAATTATTTAAAACTCTTATCATGATCCTTTGCTATCTGAAGGAATGTCTTTTTATTATTATGATAAATTTCAATATATTTATTATAATAACAAAGAAAAATAATTATGGATTATGAAAAAGAAATTCAATTGGTTAAATGCTACACACACAACTTTAGAACTGAAATCTGATCTATGCCATATTTTAACAGAGATATTTATACATGTAAAAAAAAAACAGGTATGGGTATTTAAATCACGTGACTAAGAAGAAAAATCAAGACAGATACATGTAAGTAAACTAGGAAGTGATATTGTTTTCAAGGAGCCATGTTAGATTCATCGGTAAGACATAATAAATAAAGCTGTTTTCGCCTTGTTATTTAAGAAATAAAGTATCAATACTTTTATTTTCAGCTATGTGAATGAGTGAATTAATGTTTTGTTCATGAACTTACAATATCATGGATAGCTTGTATGAAACTTTAATATAGGAAAAGGAATTTAGGATATTGAATTAGGTCATTGATGTGTCTGAAAATTACATTTTTTTCATTAAATATAATTATCTTAGAACCATTCAAAATTTTTAAGTCACAGTATATATATTCCCATCATTCTATTGTAAAAATTATTTGTTGAAGGAATTGTTTGAATCAGTTAATCATTATAGTAATTGTTTTACAGTGCCACTGTTTTTTACTGTCTCTGTTAGTCATCCATATATTTATTGTAAACAGTGCCTCCTGCATGGTCAGATAACCAAGCATCATTAATGGATCCCCTGGACAGAGCTCAAGTTCTCCTCCATTGTGATCTGTGTCAAACAGCTGCACTACAGAGTCATTGTACACTATGTCAGATTAACCTGTGTAAGGCCTGTGTATGGGAGCATCTTTCTGATTCGTCAAAAAGACATAATGTTGTGCCATACAAGCACAGAAAATCTGCTACTTATAACTATCCAAAATGTCCAAACCATTCCCAGAACCAAAGTGAACTTTACTGTGATCAATGTGACATTCCTGTCTGTTCTACCTGCATCTCCTCTGGAAAACATAAAGGACATCATTTATCAGATGTTTTACAAAAAATCAGCTCCAAAATAAAAGACATGGAAAAAGAATTAAAAGAACTTGATACTAAACTTTTCCGAAAATATGAAGAAATTGCTTCAGACATCAAAACCAAAAAAGAAAACTTGGACACGCACTACAGGAAACTGACAGCAGCTGTCACCAAACAAGGAGAAGACTGGCACAGAGAAATTAACATCATTGTCAACAATAAAATTTCTGAAATTGATGTTATGAAAACTAAACACCTGGCTGTTCTATATAAACAGGAAAACGAAATGAAACAGATTGCTTCTGATGTTAAACAGAGCATTGTCGATCTGAAGAACATTCTGGAATCCAATGAAGTGTCCCTTACCTCTGCATACAAATCCAGAAATGCAGAGTTCAGACGTTTACCTCCAGACCTCAACATTTCATTACCAAGTTTCTCTCCTCATCAGATCAATACAGTTCAGCTCAATCAAATGTTTGGCTCTCTTTCAGCATTATCAATTACAAAAGAAGAATTCAGTTACACAGTCAAATCACTGCTTGATGAACCAGAGCTCATCACCATCATAAGTACTGGGTATGAATTTCTACACAGTGTTATCTGCCTTAGTGATGAAGAAATCTGGACACATGGACATGACAAAATCATGAAACTCTACAACCTCAAAGGTAAAAGACTGAAGTCAATCAAAACCAAGTCTGGGAATGAGCCACGTGACATAGCAGTGACAAGGAGTGGAGATCTAGTTTATACTGACCCTAATACAAGAACTGTAAACATAGTGAAGAATAAACAGATACAGGAAGTGATCAAACTACAGGGGTGGATACCTCTCAATGTCTGTAGTATCTCTTCTGGTGACCTCCTGGTTACCATGACAAGTGATGATGGTACACAATCAAAAGTTGTCCGTTACTCTGGCTCCACAGAGATACAAACCATTCATTTTGATAGTGAAGGCAAACCTATGTATTCATTTGGTTCTATTACATACATCAGTGAGAACAGAAACCTCGATGTATGTGTGGCTGACTACGCAGCCAGTGCAGTAGTGGTAGTTAATCAGGCAGGAAAATTCCGATTTACATACGATGGTCATCCCTCTACTAACAAGAAGAAATATACATTTAATCCAGTCGGCATCACAACAGACAGCCAGAGTCAAATCCTGACAGCAGACTTTGACAACAACTGTATCCACATCCTAGATCAGGACGGACAGTTCCTCAGTTATATTGATAATTGTGATCTACAGCGTCCATGGGGTTTATGTGTAGACACAAGAGACAACCTCTTTGTGACTGAGTGGAAAAGTAGTAAAGTGAAGAAAATCAGATACATGTAAACACTGCATTATGTCTAGAAATGACCGTGAATAAGATTTAGTTAGGCACTGAGGGTTAAAAGTCATCTGACTTAGGACTAATCAAATCAAATTACAAGAAGTATATGCATATTTTACAATGTTTTGAATTTCTGCTAATTTTAAGAAGAAACTCTATTAGTACTATCAAATGTATATATAATTCTAAAAGATCAAAAGTGCAAGGGCATAACCAAGTTAAATTTCCAAGTTTCGTATATAAATATATTCAACACGCATTGTAGTTTCTAAAAAGTGCTACGATCATGTCTAAATTCTGCAATTTCATTGTTAGAATTATACTTGTATGACCGAATGCTATATTTTTTGCTGGTCGGCGGCATGAATTATTGATATAATTAAATTGTTTTAAAGATTTCATCAGGATCGCAGCACTTTTCAGATACCTTAATAGTTCTATAGTTGAAATGTAAAAGCTTACTTTGATCCATAGAGTGTATGCCCTTGCACTAGATCGATTTATTAAGACCCTCCACATTACCCTCCGATGTACTTGCATACAAATATACGGCAATGTCAATTAAATACGTAATGTACAGAAAATATATTAATAAAATAGTGACGAATACATTAAATTCAAGTTATTGACCCATATGATATCTGTAAATAATATTTTATTTAATTAGAGAATACAAATTTTGTTGAGAAAATATTACTTGATCTGTCTCTCACTGCATACAAACTACGTCACGTTGTAAGAAATGACGTCATATTGACAAGTGTATTGCGATCAGTGACTTGTTTATAACTTTTTATGTGGGATTTAACTAACGACAAAACAACATGAAGTAGTAAGTTTTTATGTAGTTTGACGATTTCTTACTGGTTAAATTAGCAGATAAACTCATTTTGTGGTATTTTAAAGAAATGTTGTATAACGTATATTGTGAATGATGTCATAGTCAAGTTTTCCCGCACAAATTAGGCTCCGCCTCCTTTTCGTAACCTTAACTGTGCTGCGTTTGAAAGCCATGTGATAAATGCATAAACAATAATTATGTAGCCATGGTAACGTGTACCATTTCTGTTTAACATATTACAGAGTCCCAGCAATGAATATTTGATTAGAAATTGTTTTGTGATTTAAATTTAAGGGGGCCGACTATAGTTTTATTGTGTGAAAACTACAATAGCGAAACTCTTCATTTTTATACCATATATGACTTACACTAACTTCAGTGTACATGCAAAGTTTGGGGGAAATCTACCGTTCAGGTATTTTTGAGGGACCGTCTCAAAATACAGGTACATTTACTATAGGATTATATAGGAAAATGCCAATTTTTAGCACTTTAAAGCAAATTATACAAATACTACGATAGACATTTTGTTCAAACTATAATATTTGATGAGTAATACTATATGATACAATATATGTAGGAAACACAAAATTCTATCGTCTTGTTAAGAGAGGGGGCATCTAAAAATGCAAAAACTTAGCAAATTTTACTATTTTTATAGAGTACTACAAAATATGACGTACACAATGGATTCACATGAAAACATAATAAAAATATTGGAGATATTCTAAAAATTTAATGTTTTAAATTTCAAGAGCATATGTTTATAACTTTTTCTTTAATAATATTTTTATTACCCCTTTCTTTAAGAGCTACAGATTATCATAACGTCAAAAACACACTGCAACGACGTCAACCTACCTATCCATTGCAAAATCGATTAAAAATCAGTTATATCAAATTGTAATTACATTTTTATACCTATAATGTCTTAATTTTGTTTAATTTTAATAATTAAGCGAAAAAAATTGTATGAAAACAGTAAATACGCTTCATTTTACTATGGTGCGCGAAATATTGCGCAATGGAAACTATAATCGGCCACCTTAAGGTCATACGCAACATAGTTTGAACTTAATTTGTCTCTTCCCTGGAGATGAAGAGTTCCACTTAATAAAGGACCTGTGTGCAATTCTTTTAATGACTATACAGCAGAACTTGTTTAGTATGTACATGGTTATTGCTAATTTACGAATATAGCTAAGTCATCTTAGATCCTCAGCTATATAAATTTAATGAATTTCTTATACGGTTATAACAAATTACGGATTTAGTAAAGTAAATTAAAAGTGTGGATTCAACTATACATGTACAATTCATATACATGTACTATGAATATCAAAAAGTGCTATAGAGGAAAGATTTATATAATTTTTTCAGAATAGAAAAACGATTAAAAATCATTTTTCACCGGAGATATCTTTTTAAATGAATTGTATAGTTGAATCCACACTTCAAAAAAGTTATGTCCCTCGGCCGCCAACTTAGGGGATAAACCCATAGAATCCTCACAGTACCCTTTGTAGTTTCAGGTTTGTAACTTTGTCTTTTGACTGGGAGAAATCATAGCAGAGTATATACTGATTGTCCCATGTTGGGGCTACTACGGAAGCCCATTTAGGACCTATCAGAAATATTTTTGAATTCGTTATAACTAATTTTAGAATTCGTTCTAACGAATTTAATTTGTTTTTACAGGTTTTAAGAATTTAATATAACGAATTTAATCTGTTATAACAGATTCATTGCATTCGTTATAACAGATTTAATTTGTTATTACAGATTTATTGAATTCATTTTAAACAAATTCTTAAATTTGTTATAACGAATTCAACAAATCTGTAATAACAAATTAAATCAGTTAAAACGAATTCAATAAATCTGTAATAACAAATTACATTCGATATAACGAATTCAATGAATCTGTTATAACGAAAAAAATTCGTTATAATTAATTCAATTAATCTGTTATAACAAATTAAATTCGTTATAACCAATTCTAAAAATTATTATAACGAATTCAAAAATAGTTTTCGATAGGTCATAAATGGGCTTCCGTAGACTACCCACACATCCAAAGAAAACAATTTAAACACAGTGGATTCATCATAGCCCACCCAAATGGTAGCATAAAGAGGAGAAATGTTGTTTTTTTTCCCTTTTGACCTTTTAGTTGACCCCGCAAAGGGAAACACCTTTTGTAAAGCGTGGATTGGTCTATTGATTAAGCACATAGGGTGATGTCTCATCAAGGACAGGTCAAGGTAAAAAATTAGGACAGTTTGCTCTTGCATATTGAAACTAAAACATGACGATTGTGTCTAAAAATATTGGGTATTCATCCAATATATATCTGATATGCATTCAGATTCATTGAATTCATTGAAAACTCATAAACCCTCTGCTCACTCATATAAAATGTTGCTTAAATCTGAATGATTTTCCAAAAGAAATGTATATTCTAAGTAAAATACAAATAATTATAGAATAGCTTGCGGGGCAAAATAGGACAAAAAAGACACTTGAACTTGGTAAATCTTTAAAGGAATAATAGATATTTATGTCATGAGTTAGCTTTCTTATCAGAGAATCAATGAACCTTAAATGCAATGTGTTCTTTCTTATCATAACAATGTGCAATGTTACCATAATAATGACCCTCCACCCCAAACTCCAAACCTACTACATGTGCACTGATTGGAGATCACTTAATATTTCAATGGCAGACCCATGACAAAATTAGAAATTTAAGAATCAATATTTTTCTACATATCTGTACATAAATAACTTACTCTCTTAGATCTGGAGAATTTGGCACTACTGTATGACTTACCCTATTATATATCTGGAGAATTAGACACTACTATATATATCTTACCCTCTTAGATCTGGAGAATTTGACGCTACTGTATAACTTACCCTTTTAGATCAGGAAAATTTGACACTACTGTATGACTTACCTTCTTAGATCTGGAGAATTTGACACTACTGTATAACTTATCTTATTAGATCAGGAGAAGTTGACACTACTATAAAACTTACCCTCTTAGATCTGGAGAATTTGACACTACTGTATAACCTACCCTCTTAGATGTGGAGAATTACGCTTTACTTCATAACTTACCCTCTTAGATCTGGAGAATTTGACAGTACTGTATAACTTACCCTCTATGATCTGGAGAATTTGGCTTTACTGCATAACTTGCCCTCTTAGATTTGGAGAATTTGACACTACTGTATAACTTACCCTCTTAGATCTGAAGAACTTGACACTATTGTATAACTTACCGTCTTAGATCAGGAGAATTTGACACTACTGTATAACTTGCCCTCTATGCTCTGGAGAATTTGACACTACTGTATAACTTACCCTCTTAGATCTTGAGAACCTGACACTACTGTATAACTTACCCTTTTAGATCTGGAGAATTTGACACTACTGTATAACTTACCCACTTAGATCAGGAGAATTGGACACTACTGTATAACTTACCTAATTAGATCAGGAGAATTTGACACTACTGTATAACTTACCCTCTTAGTTCTGGAGAATATGACAGTACTGTATAACTTACCCTCTTAGATATGGAGAATTTGGCACTACTGCGGATTTTCTGTAGAAGAGTTTTGTGTAGAGGAGATTTATGGCCTTCTCTTCTGACCGGGGACTCCATTAAAATATCACAATACTTGTTGTTTATACAATGATTTTTCAATCTTTAATTTAATACAAAGAGAAATTTCATGAATATTATCTCATTTATCTGGACTTTTCTTTCTTTTCTAATTAAAAAGACAAACCATTCACTTCCCTTTCTGCTTCTTTGATTTTATGAACAAGTGTAAATGTTTCTTTGTTTTGGAGTAAGGTAGAGGGATTAAGGTGCAGAATGCAGCAGTTGACTGCCTAATCATGACAGCTTTGTTTTGAAAAAAAAATCAAAAATTTAATTTGATAAATCAAATAAAATAACACACCACTTGGATTTCTCTCTTTGTGGAACTTGTGATAGAACTCGGACAGGTAGCTGACCATGGTCAGTTTGTCCGGACAGTAGCAGGTGGATATTTCCTGACCGGTCATCACTTGACAGGAGCAGGTGGACATTTTGATTCCTGACCTGTCATCACTGGACTGATTCCCAGCTCTGTGTGGGCCACATCAAACGCCAGCTGGTTATTTTTAGCCACGTCTAACGAGGACAGGGACTCTCTGAAATTACCATGTTTTAATTAAAAATCATCTTTGCAGATTCATTGTTTTTCCTCA